TCAAAGTCACAGGGTAGAGGAATAACAAAGTAGGCTCAATTCCCAGTTGCAAACCTGCGGTAAAATTGGTTGAGATATAGATATGGATACAGGTACAAAAGTAGACACAGGTTTTTTAAATACTTTAAATTGTTATGACTACTATAACTTTCTATACTGAAGTTATTGACTCACAAGAAGTTGCAGAAATAGTACAGAGTGTTCTTCTGTACCTTTCTCCTAGCTCCCTACCATGATGATATCTTATATATCCCCAGTGCCTTATACATACAGACACAGGTTTTTAAATCACTTCTGAGAGTTCTTCACCTGCTTTTTGTGAGACATTTCTTTGTGGTTAAAAGTTTCTCATCTGTTTTGTCTCTGCCTCCAAATTTGCCAAAATAGGACAAAACCATCTTCACCGCCAATACCACATACTGAACACTGCTTGAAATCCCTGGGTTTGTCTCTGATGCCCATAAAAGGTATATTTTGCAACCACATGACCAGCATCCTTTGAAATGGCCTTCAGAAAGCCACATGTGGTCAGGTGCACCACAGTCTGCATGGCATAGCCTCAGGTTGAGGAGCCCACGCAGGAGAAGCCTCCCCTGGGCCTAAAACTGAGATCTGAGTTGGGCTCACAGGCTTTAAGAAGTAGTGGGAGAGAGAGCAAGCGTGAATGAGGGTGTGAAGAACCGCACTTGAACATTCATGCTGAAGGTAGAAAGTGAGAAGCGAGGCTGCTGAAATGTCAAGTGAGGAAATAGTAAGTCAACAGCAATGGATGGGCCATGGCAGACAAACCAGATCTTGGGAGCAAACAGGGACAAAATGCAGCCCTCAAATAGCTGAATGCAAATGTGACAAAATAAAAAGGCACTGGCTCAGTGTCACGGGTAACATTCAGCCAATTCTAAGTGCAAAGCAAAATGCATAAAATGCAAGAAAACATTGAGTCATTGAGGTTGATTTGAATGGGAGAATACAAAATATGAGTGACTCCCTCAAAGGGCATTTGCAGGGTTCTCTTGCCAAGCTCTCCTGTGGCCACTGCCCCTCCACCACTCCATAGATGCTTTTAAAGTTCATCTAAAACTTAGACAACATTGCACAGTCAAGCCTTAGGCCAGGCTTTAAAATCAAACTGACATGTGCCCGCATCTATTCCAGCTGTATTATCTTGAGCTAGTTACTCACCTGCTGGGAGCCTCAGTTTCCTCATTTGAAAAATGAGAATACTAGTATTAATAGCACCTACCTCACAAAGTGATTATGAATCTGTATGACAATATGCATAGAGAGTGCTCAGCCGTGGTACTAGCAAAAATAAGTGCTTCCTATATAGTGGCTATAATTAATATGTGAGCATTGCTTTCCAGCCAAGAACAAAATCCCAGTATGGCCTTCAAAGGTCTCAGTTCCTCCATCTGAGAATGTCCAATGTCACCCCCGAGGTCCCCATGCCAAGTGTTCTCTTATTGTGTCATTGTGACAAGAGGAGTCAGCTAGGGATAGCAGCTTTCATCTCTACACTGATCTGTTTCCATCCATTTTTGGACTATGAAGGACAGAATAAAAGAGACTTCAAATGTATTGTGACTTTAATTTCAATAACCACCTAGATGAAGGTGGTTGGAAAGCAGAAAGAACAGACTTCTTCCCCTATCCCCATCCCTGTTTGCCACCTCAGAAGTACACACTAGGGAAGAGCAGAAACTACTTAAATTAGAAGTGACCCCAGCATCCCATTTAAGAAGTTCCTGCTCAGAAGTGCAGACATTTCACCTTCAAATGGAAAGAGCACAGGACCTGAGTTTTAGTTGTGGGGCCCCGTATTCCTCTCCACTACTACATCATTGCTCAGTTCCATTTAAGAGAAACAAACCTATTCCTCAATTCCATTTAGATGAAATATCCAGAATAGTTAAATCCATAGAGACAGAAGTAGATTGGTGGTTCCCAGGGGGCCAGGGTGGGGTTGGGGGATAGCTTAATGGTATATGAGGTTTTATTCTAGAGTGACTGACATGTTTGGGGACTAACTGGTGATATCTACACAACATTGTAAATGTACTCAGTGCCACTGAATTGTTCACTCTAAAATGTTTAATTGTATCTTATATGAATTTCATCTTAATAAATTATTTTCTAAAATCTCCTAAAAAGAGTTGTCTCTATTTCCTGTTCTAATTGTTCATCTCTCGCTCTCTATTGATTGCGTGCAAATTCAGCTTTCCCCTCCACCACTCCACCGTAACTACTATTTTTAAGGTCCTCATGACCTCCAAGATGCTAAGTCTCATGGTGCCTTGTTGCCATATGGAGCTTCAGGGGAGGCTGAAAAGTGTGGTCTATTTTAGGCAGCCACATCTCAACTAAAATAAATAAACAATAAGGAATAACTAGCCGTTTCTGTTAGTTTTTTTAAGGATAAACTATTTAAATGCTAGAAACAATGAATAGCCTCTAAATGGGGGCTGGAGGGGAGGCAACAAGGGACAAAGGCATTTTTTAAAAATGAGATTAATTCAACAGAAGATAGAAAAATTTTGGTAAGCAGAAAACACAAAGTAGGAGGGCAGAAATAATTTAAGTAAAGATACTTACAATAACTAATTAATGAATAATCATCAATTAAAAGAGATTTTTTTTCAAGTAATTGGTCCATTTCATCTAAGTTGTCAAATTTGAGGGCATAGAGTTACTCAAAGTATTTCTTTTATTATCCTTTTAATGTCCATGGGATCAGTAGTGATGACCCCTCTTTCCTTCTTTCTTACACTCGTAATTTGTGTCTTCTCCCGTTTTTCTTAGCCTGGTTAGAAGTTTATCAATTTTATTAATCTTTTCAATGAACTAGCTTTTGGTTTCATTGACTTTATTATTTTTGTCTTCCATTTTATCAGTTTCTGCTTTGATTTTCATTCTTTCCTTCTGTTTGCTTTGGACTTAATTTGCTCTTTTCCTAGTTTCATAATCTGGAAGTTTAATTATTGATTTTAAATATTTCTTCTTTTCTAATATATACATTTAATGCTATAAGTTTTCCTCTAAGAATTGCTGTCATTGTATCCTATGCATTTTGAAAAGTTGTATTGTTATTTTCATTTAATTCAAATATTTTTTAATTTGAGACTTCTTTCTTTGACCCATGTGTTATTTTTAAACATATTGTTTAATCTGTAAGCATTTTAGAGTTTTCCAGCTATCTTTATGTTGTTGATTTCTACTTTAGTTCCATTGTGGTTTGACAGCAAACTTTGCATGATTTCTATGCTTTTAAATTTGTTAAGGTGTGTGTTTTATGGCACAGAATGTGGTCGATATTGGTGAATGTTTCATGTGAACTTGAGAAGAATGTGATTTGTGCTGTTGTTGGATGAAGCAATCTATGAATGTCAATTTGAACCAGTCGATTGATGGTACTGTTCAGTTCAACTATGTCCTTACTAATTTTCTGCCTGCTATTTCTGTCAATTACTAATAGAGGGGTATTACTTTCTCCAACTATAATAGTGTATTTGTCTATTTCTCCTTGCAGTTCTATTAGTTTTTGCCTCACGTATTTTGATGCTGTGTTGTTAGGCACATACACATTAAGAATGGTTATGTCTTCTTGGGTAAATTACCCCTTTGTCAATATAATGCCCCTCTTTTTCCCTGATGATTTTCCTTGTTTTGACATCTGCTTTAAAATGAAGGTTTCTATGTTAGATATAAAATTAAAATATTTATTTTTTGGCAGTTTACAAAATAAATGAACTGAAAACAATTACACAGAATGTTTAAAAACAAAGGGATAGAATAAAGGCCAAACTAACCAAAAAGGTCTAATATTCAATATCAGGCGAAGTAGAATTTAAAATAGAACTCAATAGGATTAACTAAATTAACATTGATTAACAAAACATAATCTAATCTAACTAAAGAGCGATACTGTTACAGTAGATAGGCAGACATAAGCAAGGCAGGGGAGGGCCCCACTCACTACCAGGAATGTTAGATGACCATCAAGTCATGGTCAGAAGGTTGTTAAACTGTCTGTTTAAAATGATAACTGTCACAGCCAGTGCCAGGGAAGGCAGTCTCCAAACAGGTAGAAAACATTTGAAATTGGTGATCGGCAGCTTCCAGATATGATCTCAGTTGGGCGAGTGGGCTCAAACATGCACACTAAGAGGCAAAATGGCAGAGTTTAACTGGTATGTGATCTTCCTCTAGGAACACTCGACTAGTAAGGGAAAAATGCCTCATGAGTACAACTTCTGTAAACACACTGCACATGTGGCCCTTTCCAAGGGCTGGCGGAGCACTATGCATGCAGATAGCCCACCACAAAGGAAGAATCAGGAGAGAAGTAATGCAACCCCAAAAGCATGCCAATGTCCAAAGCCTCAAGTCAAAGGTCAAGCCATGCACTTGGATCTCTCAAGTCACCCACATGACCCTCTTCCAAGTGTACTTTACTTCCTTTCATTCCTGCTCTAAAGCTTTTTAATAAACGTTTACCTCTGCTCTAAAACTTGGTTGGGTGTTCCTTCTGCCTTAATGATCTTTGGTCAAATTCTTTCTTCTCAGGAGGCAAAAATTCAGAGTGCTGTGCAGCCATATGGATTTGCCACTGCTAATAATACTATATAATAATAAACATGAAATCTCTCCATAAGTATATAACAAATATAAATGTATACGTACCTATCAACCTCACCTTAGACTCTACAAGAATAAAAAATTGACATATTTACAAGGAGAAATGGATTAATCTACAAGCATTAGTTGTTGATGATTTTAATATATTTTTTCTCAGAAAGAACAAGCAGACAAGAAAATTATAAGAATGTATAAATGTGAACAGTATAATTAACAAATTAATCTGATCAATATGTATAGAATCCTGTACTTTACAAATGAAGATATTTTTATTTTTCAAAGACATGAATTAGTTACAAAAATTCACTGTATACTAGAACTCAAAGGAAAAAACCTCTTCTGAAGAACTTAGAATATGTTTTCTAATGATGCAATTAAACAGAAAACATTTTTTTATTTTGAGCAAAAACATTAAAAACACATACAAATAACACAGCTTATCTCACCATTCTAGGGTACTAAGCTTTCAAGTCACTTTCATTCACAAGAACGGTCATTTTAATTAACATAACTCCATATTCTCACCCAATTTAAAACTTTTTCTCTTTTCAGTTCCAGTTTGCTTTACCCAGGAAACTGCAGAGGGGCAGGGGACAGCTGACTTTTCTCTCCTTCTGAGCCTTGCTGGCCTCTGTCTCCATCTTCATTCCAGGTTGCCCCTGGGCCTGCAAAGTTGAGGTTGAATGTAGGTGATCACTGGAGGAGAAATAAGAGATAAGAAACATGCTCTTGCCTGCTGCATAGACATAACCTGGAGGTGGTATCCTAGAGCATGACCTGCTAACTACTTCTCCCTTAGAGCATTTCATGGCTTCCTCAGATATGGTCTCAATGGGGTCCTTAAATTGCAACTGCCTTCACAAGGAAACGGAGGCTCACAGCAGGTAAATAATGGATTCTTCTCAGCCAGATATTGAAGTTCATCCTTCCTCAGTGTCTGTCAACCCGTCCCTACTGGGTCTCATAGCTCTTCAGGCAATCATGGGTAGAATTTAAAAAGGCTCAAGGGCCAAGTGCCATGGCTCATGCCTGTAATACCAGCACTTTTGGAGGCCAAGGTGGGAGGATCACTTGAAGCCAGGAGCTCCAGACCAGCCTGGAAGCAAAGTGAGACACTACCTCTACAAAAAATAAAATAAAATAAATTAGCCAGGCATGATGTCACATAACTATAGTTTCCGCTACTCAGGAGGCTGAAGTAAGAGGACAGCTTGAGCCCAGGAGTTCAAGACTGCAGTGAGTTAAGCTATGATCATTGCACTAGCCTGGGTGACAGAGCAAGACCCTGTGTCATAAATAAATAGGCTCCCTATTTTGGCCTGAGTGAGCCAAAGCTGGTTTCTGAGAAGCATGCTCTCATCCTCTCTCCACCAATAATGGAAAAACTCCCAGTGCAGCCCTTCTCTCTTGAATTGGCCACCTTAGATAAATCTAGCCACAACTTTCACTCTAGTCTTTATGCTCCCCCAATTCCAGCAGGCATCACCTGATTTTTCTCTTGAGCCCCCTATTTCTCCTGGCTTAACAAGAGGCAGAAATGAGAGCATTCTCCTTTTCCACCCCCAGAGGTGGGATGGGGGACAGGGAAGAGAAATACACCAATATTTGACATCTTTCTACATAGACATCTTCTATGGCCTTGGTCTCAAATTTGATCCCCCTCTAAATGGATGGTGGCCTAACAGTACCAAAAATGACTTTATGGCACCCTCTTTGAAAGATCCTTGAGCGTAGATGGTTTAAACACCCTATTTTGGAATCTAGGGGTATTTGGTCATTTGAAAGAGACCAGCAAGAGGCCATTTAATAACCTGTTTCATTACCATCATATTACTAAGCAATGGAACAAATAAATAAATAGGATGGATTTTTGTCTGAATGAGTCTCCATTTCTAGAAACATGCATTACACATTTGCTTGGTATTTTCAGGCTTACTCACCTTAACCCCAAGGGCTATGGGAGTGCCAGGAAGTCATGGCAGCAGGGAAAGGAAATTGATGGGAGACAAGAGAAGATCCAGCCATTGTAGCTTTTCTCAAATTGAAACTCATACATTTAAGTACTTGTGAATTTATCAAATGCTTCTTATTTTTCTTCATTTCATATTCATGGTGACCCCTGTGACTCTGTGTTATTTTTCCAATTTCTTCCTACAGAGTAGTATACTGAAACCCAGAAAAGTTAAGTTCTTATTTAAGGTTATGCAGCTGGTTTGTGCACAGAGGAACTTGAACTCCTGCCCTCTCTCCAGCACGCTATACTCTTGCCTAGCTGCATAAGAGCCCACAGAGTTTAACCGCTTCTTACCAAAAAGTTGAGATGGAGTAGATTTTCAAAAGGTAATATTTCAAAAAAAAAAAAAAAAGCAGAGTGAATACTCCTGCTAGTCAGTCCCATAGTTCAAATTAAGAAGTTCCACTAGGTAGTCATGAATATATTTGGAACTGTATATTGCAGAGTCTCTTAGATATATGGCTTTCTAGGAATGCATTTGTCATGTTTAGCATTCTAGCTTGTTTCTGAGATTGGAAATAAGTCTCTGAAAATATTGGTCTAATAAGGAAGAAGCACTAAGCAAGAGGCTACAGATAGAGAGTGGCTCCAAGTTGGGGTGGACAGAGGTTTTGATTAGTTTGTGATTTATCACGTTTCATTTTCAAAACAAATTAAAATATTTTCCCTCCATTTCATGCCCTAAAGCCTTGTGACTACTTATGGCAGTTTCTCTTGGCAGCTGGAGCAGTTTGGAAGAAATAAGTGGCTTCTCATAAGAGTGAGTGTGGGAATGCAAGATAATATCCACAGCATGTGATCAGACCACTTGGCTCCCATATGCATCCCCAGCAAATGAATTTGGTAGAGGACCCATAAATTCAATGTGTAAGACAGGCTTCAGGGCTGTTGCTGCTCACCCTTTCAGTGTGGGTCTCTTATTGATTGTTACCAATCCAACTAGAGCAAGTAACAGCCAGGAGTCCTTTGTCCAAATGACAGACGTTTAGCTATAGTATTTTGTCATAATTGTGCGACCTCTGTTTTATCAGCCAAGAAACCAATTTTGTATATCTAATTTAATTCAAATTAAGGAAAACAAACTCTATGAAAATATGTGTGGAAACACTTTTTTTCAATTTTGTCTGCCTAGAAGTAGAATCATTTTTAAAACACCTCCAAGCAAAAATAAATTAAGACCTGACTCCGGCCACAAAAATTAACTCAAAATGGATCACAGCCCTAAATGTAAAACACAATACTACAAAACTCTGACATAGGAGAAAGCAAAGGTCACCTAGGTAACCTTGGGTATGTGATGACTTTTTAGATATATAACAAATGGCATGAGGCATAAAAGAAATAATAAGCTAGACTTTATTAAAATTAAAATTTTCTGCTCTGCAAAAGACCATGTCAAGAGAATGAGAAGACAAGCCACAGCCCAGGAGAAAATCTTGCAAAAAACATATCTGATAAAAAAACTTTTATTCCAAATGCAGAAAAAAACTCTTAAAACTCAACAATAAGAAAACAACCCAATTAAAAAGTGAGCCAAGGACCTTAACAAATACCCCTCCAAAGAAGATATACAGGTGGCAAATAAGCATATGAAAAGATATTCAGCATTGTATGTCATCAGGGAAACGCAAATTAAAACAACAAGGAGATACCACACTCACTTACCAGAATGCCCAAAATCCAGAACGCTGACAACGCCCAATGCTGACAAGGATGTAGAGTAACAGGAACTCTTTCATTCATTGCTGGCAAGAATGAAAAATGGTACAGCCACTGTGGGAGATTGCTTGGTGGTTTCTTGCAAAACTAAACATACCCTTACCATACGACTCAGCAATCATGCTCCTTGGTATTTACCCAAAGGAGTTAAGAGCTTATGTCCATGTAAAAACCTGCGCACAGTTAATTTATAGCAGCTTTATTTATAAATACCAAAACTGGAAGTAACCAAGATGTCTTTCAATAGGCAAATGAATAAATAAACTATAGTACATCCAGACAATGGCATACTATTCAATGCTGAAAAGAAATGAGTATCTAGCCATGAAAAGACATGGAGAGATCTAAAATCGTATTACTAAGTAAAACAAACCAATCTAAAAAGGCTACATACAGTGTAATTCCAAATATATGATGTTCTAGGAAAGATAAAACTTTTTTTTTTTACTATGTGGAGACATTAAAAAAGATCAGCAGTTGCCAGAGGTTAGTATAAAGAGCTGGATGAATAGGCAGAGCTCAGGGGATTTTTAGGGCAGTGAAAATACTCTCAATGATACTATAATAGTGGATAAATGTCATTAAACATCTGTCTAAAACCATAGGATGTATAACACCAAGAGTGAACCCTAATATAAACTATAGACTTGGGTAATTATGAGTGTCAATGTAGGTTCAGCAATTGCAATAAATGTACTGCTTTGGTTGGGGATGTTGGTAATAGGAGAGGCTGTGCATATACGGGAGCAGAAGGTATGTGGGAAATCTCTGTGCCTTCCTTCCAATTTTGCTGTGAACCTGAAACTGCTATAAAACAGTGAAGTCTTTTTTAAAATGCACATAGGTACACAAATAAAATAAAATAAAATAAAATAAGAGTAGATTGACCCCACCATTATTTAGGGAGTTGGCTCAGGCCTGAGACACATGAGTTGGAAGCCATTTCTTGAAGTGCTCAGGAAAGTGTCACAAGAACAGCACTGAGCTTATGCAGAGTAGACTGGGGCCATGCCACACCCTAGGGGTTTCTGTCTCTGGGCTTCAGTTGTCTCATTTGAAAAACTGAGAGTTCCATGCAAATCTGAAAGCATAGAAATTAACCAACTATTTTGTAAAGTCTATTCAAAGGCTTACATTTATGACTACATGATATTCTATCCATGTAACGCCCTTCAACAAATTGAGGGAAAAATGGGGATTATATCTGTGTCTTGAAAGAGTCCGCGGCATAGTGGGGAACAGGACAGCTTTTGGTGAGGGCTGCCTGAGTGTGAGTCTTGACTCAGCCACTCAGTGGATTTGTGACATGGGCAGGGAGGTCATTGCCCTTCTCCACGCCTTGGCTTTACCATCTTTAAAACCTCACAGGGTTGTTGTAAAGATCAAATGAGTTTGCATACGTAAAGTGTTATAATAAAACATGGCACATATTAACCACTTATTTAGCTGTTACCACTTTCCTTTTTCATACACATTAGACCCTCCACCTTAGCAAACACAGCCAAGGTGGGACAGAGGAAGGACCACTAGAATAGTGTTATCTGGCCTGTAAGAGTGAACGTAGGTTACATCCAAGTATTTAGATGAGTAATAATGAGCATTCGACTCCTATGATTTACAGACACTGTGCTGGGCACTTTATGTGCATTACCTTTGATGTTGTTAACTTTTCAAGGTAGATAGTAAGGCATTATTACTGTGCTCATTTAGCAGATGGGAAAAATGAAGCTAGAATAAGTGTCCAAATCCACAGGGTAAGTGGCAACACCCCAATTCAAACCCAAGCCCATCAAAGTTCTCAAACATGCTGCTTCCAGAGTAACCATGGCCATTCTTTGCCCACTTTGCGCCAGGTATGCTGCTGGCCACTTTGCTTTATGCAATGTCTCTAGACTCTATAGTCCTGCAGAATTGACATTATTATCTCCACCTCTTTTCTCAAAGACCTGCACCAAGCCTCCTA